CCCCCCCCCCCCCCCCCCCCCCCAAATCTGTCTTTCTTTATTTTTTGTAACTATTTGAAGTTTTGATTTGTCTTAAATGCATATATACCCGTATGGTATTTGTAAAAATCGTATCTCAAACCCACTTCTATACCCATTGCAGCTCTTTGTAAATCTTGGGTCAGATATTTAGGATAAAATGGCTTTAAAAAGGTTGCCGACCCCTGCACTAGACTGTATGCACTATTTTGTTAATGGTCAGGACTTCAAAACAATCATATTCTATGATATATATTTTTTGGTGCCTAGTAAGCAGTCTACTGATTTCCTCCATATTTAAGGTGCTCAGTATCATGTTGTTATTTCCACAAAAGTGATGAGAGTCACCATGATTCTACATATGTTGTTTCATTACAGAATGAATTATCAGATGATATTATCCAGAGTGATGTACATTTGGGAAAGCAGGGTCAGACAACTTATGGAAAACTCAAGCCCAATAACAGATACTGACCTGCTAAATTTTCCATTACTTAGTCATATAACAAAGTAAGTAAAGATCACAGATCACACCTTAAAACCCTGACACTTCTAAAGCATCTCGTTCAATGTATTGTATCCAAATTTACATGCAGCAAAATAATCTGCTGAAATATCCACAGAATTAGAGTAATTAACACAAAAGAATGACTTAAATATTCAAGGAACCCATACAGGTCCAGCATTTACCAATATGCTCATATTACATTCACGACTCATGGGAGACTCAAGCCCAAGAAATTATCTCTCTACTACAGATACAGTAGGTACATTGGTTAGCTAATTGTTTCATTACTTCAATAAATCCCAACAATTGTATCCAACCTCACCTGGGGAAAAATAAAAGCTCACAAAATATCACCTTGTCTTGTGGGATAAAACCTGGATGATAAATACAAGAAACAAATAAAGTGAGCCTGAAATTGTGAAATAGGAGTACAACAAAGAAAATTAGAGAAACAGGATACTGGATACTGCAGTTAAGTTACTCCTCAATTTCTTTGGACACAGTAGCTAAGCTACACATCTGTTTCTTTGCACCCAGCCAGATACTTAAACAGACAAGCTGGTTTACATTATCAGACAACAGGGAAGCTCTCTTCTTCTGCACAATATGCCCAGAAAGAGAAAATAACCTGTCACATGGTACTGATGCGGCAGGTGTTGCCAAGTACTTGCGTGCTGGGCAATCCAGCTTGTTGTGTGCTTCTTCACGTCTGGACCACCACTACTGGGGACAGTCCTCCATGCCAATAGCAGGCTCTGCCCTGTAGTGCTCCAGTGATTTCTCATTAGATTCTTCCTCTTCATCAAAGTCAGACTCTGAAGCAACCCTGAAAGCTCTGCTTTTCTTATGCAGCTCAGACATCTCTGGTTCCTCTGGCTATGCATGCTTCTCCTCTCTGAGCATGGCACAGATCAAACCCCCACACCTTAGCCCTCAGCTCAGCACAGACACTTAAGGTCCTTACTAAGATCAAGTGCTATTGCAATCCTCAGCCATGTGATGTTTGCTTTTTCCTTCCGTTTTCTGTGTCCGCTGTGAAGGCCTGCTTGAATTTTATTGTGTAGGCTGGGTCATCTTTACAGGTCTCCATCACTCTCAATAGATGGCACAAAGCAGGCAGCACCACTGAGCATGAAACAAACTTATCTCCTTCAAAAAGGTCAGTTATGTACGTGCATTAATAAAGCACTTCAGTTAGGCAATTAATCCTGCCTGAAATCCTGTACCTGAAATAAAAACACTGAGCTGAGTCCATGATTTGCCCAACGCAATAGACCTTACTCTCACTCAAAACAGTCACTCTTTACAGGCTAATTGCTTTCTCTCCATGATTCACACAGACACACACACACACACACGCACACACACACACATACACAACTTTGTGGGGACATTCATTTCTATGGTTATAACCCTAATCCTAACTGTGACAACCTTAACCTTTACCTGACCCTAACTTTTCAATATTTTAGCTTTTTGATTGCATTCACAGATTTTTTTAATAAAACTGTGGGTAAAAAGTAAAAGTTTTTTTACCACATTGTGGAGAAATCTGAGGTCTGTATCACAAAGCAGGATTTCTTGTTTAGCCGGATAACTTGTCAGCTTTAAGGTGCCCCAGTTTAAATGGGCAACCTTCGTTCATTTACATTTAGCTCAGACTAAATTAAATACGATAAGATATCCAGCTAAGCAAGAAATCCAGCTGTGATACAGGCCCCAGGTCCCCACAATGTAATAATTACAAAAGCACACATGCATTTCTGACAAATCCCACCTTTATTTAGAAACAGACAGACTAACAGACTATTGATGAGAGTTTCAATAAATTACCTGCAAGGCTCCAGCACGGTCTACAACTTCTGCAGTTCATCCAGCTCAGCTGCTGTTGGCATAGAGGTGTCAGTGCTATGTAGTGCCAGTGTACCTATTTGTGGTTGTTCATTTCTCAGAATTTGCTTTATCATGTCCAGGGTAGAGTTCCATCTTTTTGATACATCCTGTGTGAAAGGCTCGGTCTTTAGCCACATGCAATTTACTGTTGTTCTACCTCTACAACGTTTGCTGGACTGTATTTAAAATGTCCAACAACCTTTCTGCATTTTGCTAATGCAGTGTCAAACAAACTGTTCTGCAAAAACACTGTGATGGAGTGTTGGAGGCTGTACGCAATGCAAGACAAATGCTCAAATAGCAGTTGTTTGGCCGCTGCTATCACGTTCCAAGCACTATCAAGGGTGAGTGTGCTGACTTTAGTGTTCAGTGTTCTACTGCTTTGCTACTTACATAAACTCAAGTAACATCAACAGTAACTGCAAATAACTTCAGTTTTGTCAGTGGACCCAGGTGACAGGGCTTTGATGCTGAACTTGCCATTCAAAGTACACTTTTCTTTGTCCATTGTTATTTGCTAGCTACCATCTGACTCAACCTGCATTGATGGCATAAAAATGTTTTGTCATGTTACAATGAATTCATCAGATCTTAAGACAAAAAAAAATACAAACAATAATATGGAATAAAAATCATCGTGTTTCCATGAGTCTATGAAAGCCCCAGATAGAATGTTTGCTATGTCATGCAGCTATTACCAACCAGCCTAGCTAGCTATGTGTAAGTGTGCTAAGTTTAATTACATCACACATATCTATGGAACTTAGAAAGCCTACACACATGACTATAATTCAAATATATTCACACACTTATGGGGATAATTTAGTATTAAAACTGTAGTTAAGATATTTTGAAGTGTCTTAAATATTTTAATATTAAGTATTAAAATATTTACAGCTGGTAAACACGGGGAATCCACACGAGGTTATTGAGGGGGCATGACACACGGAAGGAGCGGACAATCGGGGCAAGACAGGACCCCCCCCCCCAAAGGCGCACACTCCAGGCGCACCGAAGGGAAGTGAGGAGCAAGGCCAGGGACACGATGAAACCTAGGGAAACAAAAGCGAGATAATTAATGGGACACTGGGAACAGCACAGACACACAGAACAGGCACAAAAAGGACAACTTAAACAACAAGCGATAAACCACAGAGAGTTGTAGTTATACAGTAACCACAATATGTCATGTGCAATATGCTACACTGCAGTTCAAACGCATTAATCATACATTAACTATGTATTCACAGTAAATCAATATCTATATCCATATCTAAAGTAGAAATCTAGCAGATGAGATATGTTTTGAGGAATTGAGTGAAATGGGCAGATCTACCCTGCTACCAAGTTGGACTAATAGAGGTGGAGAATCATGTTTGTTATATGTTTCATTTTGGTTTGTTGGTGTTTTGTGACCAAGTCTTATAGGGAATTGGGTGTTATGGTTTATCAACTGGTTGCTCTTTGTGTTCGGGGTAAGTGGTGCTAGATTGTGACTAGAGCGCTTTGTGGGATTGCTTGAAAAAAAACTTTTACACAATAAAAAATGAACTCAAATTAACGTTATTTGTAGTATTTACATAGGATTAGGTACAATAAAGGACAATAGTATTTACAAATCGAAGGATTTAAATTCTTGCCTCTTTCACTCAGAGTATACCAATTCCTTGACAACAAACCAACAATGAATATTGGCAAACAAGTAAGTTTGTCTTGCCTAATGGCTGAACCCACATTTTGAATTGTTAAATGTGTCAGAACATGCAAGAGTGCACACCATTGGAAAGTCTAGGGCCTAATCCCAATGTCGCCCCAAAGGCCTAAGCCCTGAACCCTCACAGACTTAATTGATGTCACCTGGTAAGTGACTGAGTAGGAGAGGCTTCATGGACTCAAATAACATAAATAGGACACAACTGGGACATAACATTGTGACATATCACAGTACCATGACAATGCCAAAGCATGTTCCTTATATTGTGGGTTTGGGATTTTTTATTTTAAGAATTGCACTTTCTTTGCAGTCAATTCACTTTCGGGACGGACTGCATATTCTAAACATGTTCCAGGCTCTTGCCTTACAGAGTGGACGAGAGACAGTTGATAAATTAAGTCCTTTTTGTACTTAATTGATCAAAGAGAATCATTCAGCAATAACTAAACAAAAAGGTTTGGTACCATTTGCACTTCCAGGCTTCCCCTGGAAATTCTGTGTTTTATGTCACAATGCTATGAACTGTGGCAAAGTCTGCAGAAATGTAGATATATGGAAAGTGTGCATGAAGGGCTCAAAATGTTTGTAAGAGAGCCCTCATGCACTTGACGATTTGACAGTGGGACAGCCCTAAGTCATCAAGGACTTAGCAGGAATGCGCCTCAAAGTGCATGAGTCTGCAAACGTGGATACTGGGAATGGGCGTGAAGCATGCTTCACTGGAGGGTTTAAAAACATGTTATATTCCATAACTTTCCAATCAACTATTAAAGAGAAA